CCAAACTAGGACTAATACTGACTCTGACCCTTACACTAAGAGTCTTTATGCTTAGATATTCTGTAGTACCTCCTCTGGGTCTTCCAGGACGTCAGTGATGGTAAATGGTCACATTTTTCTATAGCGCTTTTCCACCTTTAAGGCACTCAAAGCGCTTTACAACAAGGAACCACTCACCCATTCACACACACATTCACACACCAGTGTACACAGACACTGTGGGCAAGGTGGGTTAAGTGTCTTGCCCAAGGACACAACGACAGCATTCATCTGTGGGAGCTGGAATCACACCAGCCAACCTGTGGGTCAGTGGATCTGACCGCTCAACCTGTGATGTTTTATGTCAAGAGCTGGAATCAAACCGCCAACCGTCAGATCAGTGGGCGAATGCTCTACCAACTGAGCTACTGCCGAACAGAAACATAAATAAATCATCATGTCACATTTTGAGGCATTTCTCTGTAGCAAACACTGGATTCGCACTGACTCATTTTTTTTATTTCTTTGATTTTAATGGCCATGTGAAATGTTTAACTTAACCAAACCAGGACTAGAACAAGACTAAACCAAGTCTACATCAGAACTAAACCAGGACTAGAGCAGGACCAGTGTGAATGTGGACCTAATATCTTTACATTGCCTTGAGAGGGAACTAAAACTCTTTTCTACTGGGAGTTGACACTTGTCTGTGATCGGTTGAATTCACCTGCCACTCACTTAAAGCCTGAAGGACCAATAGTATGAGTAGGTTTGACAAAGTAGACTGAAAGTAGTGATTGAACAAGACAAATAAAAGTGAATTTAACTCTGTTCAGTGTTGTACAAGGTAGTATGGTGCAATGCTATCCACCCATGTCCCATGTTTAGTACTGTACAGATGTTGCTGAGTAATTAGCTGCTTTAACCTTAGAGTTTCCTTAAATAAGTCTAAGTAGTAAATTAAAATACGTTAAAAATAAAAGAGAATACACCTTTATTACTTCAAATCTGAAGAAAAGTCTGTTTAACCGACGCGCACGTATATCCACTTGAGTAAACTGACTGTCATTTCATGAATCATTTTTAAATCCATGAAATTTTCTCTTATATTTATGAACAAATATGTAATAAATCTGGAAATATCTTAAAATTTGTTGTAGCTTATGTACTTTTTACCGTGACACACTTTCTTTGCACCAAAAATGCCTTCCACTGAAAAAACGTGCCCCAGAAAAATTTCAAAAGATTTCCTCCAAAAACCATCATACTATTTTGTGGAGCAGGTCAAGATGCGGCTTCGGTCAAACTTTGGAAGAGTTTGAGTGAAACTGTAGGAGCCGACGAGAACACGAGTAGCTGCCAGGAGAAGTCAATGTAAAGTGACCGAAGTTTTGGTGCAGTTTTAGTACTCAAAGTTTGGCTGTCATAGTAACCAGCGACCTTAACATGTTCCGTATTTTAATGTATGTGCAATGTAATGAAACTCTAGCCCTGTTCAGTTATTATGCTATTTCTGTGTATATATTGTTCATTTTCTGAAATCTGTATAATAATAGGTTACTTACAGCAGCGTGTTTTTTTTTGTTTGTTTGTTTGTTTGTTTGGTTGGTTGGTTGTTTTTTTGTTTAGTTTTGTTTTTTGCTGTGCTTTTTGGATGTGCTTCCATATCAAAAAAAAAAAAAAAAAAAAAAAAAAAAAAAGCATATTGAAGAAGAAAGAACATATAAGTCCTATAAGTCACACTTTTTTGGGGAAATGTGTTTTATCAAATCAGAGACCAAGAACACACATTTTATCTTGAAAGGCAAGTTATAGTAATAACAGTAGAATAGAGAACAACAGGCCATTAACGTAAGCTATTAAGTTATTCAGATAGCTGTAGCATAAACAACATAACATCACAAGTTTACCTAAATTCACAGAATTTTTCACCCTCGGTGTCACTTCTGAGCAACTCCGCGACGACAATTATTTGAATAGATCCATGGGTAAACGGGGCGCCGCGTCCTCTTCTGTGTAGCTGCCTTCACACTCAGCATCAGTTCCACTTCGAATTATTCCAGCCTTTCTGAATCCCGACAGGATGGTTTCGGTCGTCGGTGAAGTCCAGGCTTTATCCGTCCAATGACTTCCAGGAAAGTTGCATGGCGCATCCTCCCGGTTACCGTGAAGCTGTCTTTAGCCAGTCCCTCACAAGTTTCTCGCTCACTCCAAACTTTCTTTCTGCTGCTCGATTACAGTTTTCAATGTTCAGTAGGACAGAAGTATTGGTGCGATCGACTGACATGATCCAGACAGAAGAGCGGCTCTGCAGAGACAAGCGCAGTGACAGTGGTACAGGAGGAACGGGAGCAGAGCGCCTTAGCTTTGCTCAAGTAGCCATCTAGCTAGTGTATTTAGTATTTATCTATCTAGTAGTGTATTTAGTACTTTGCGCATAGTTCAGATGTTCCATGTGGATTCACTACATTTTTTGTTAGAAGTTTGAAGTTTGGACATACACCGTGACTTTTGGTTAGTGGACCTTTTGAGTTTGGAATTGAGTGGAAGAAGCACGTACTGCACAGACGTACGTAAGAGTTGTACGTAAGCGTTGTGCCGTCGCGCGCACGCACGGCGCTGCTGTTGCTAAGTGCATCTTTTGAGTGATGCGCGCTCTCTGCAAACTTTGCAAACCTTGACTGCGATCGAAAACTTGTATTTGACAAATTAAATCGACGATTTCTGAATAGAAGAGGCACAAGTCCGACAGAATTTCACCCAGACTTTGGCTGACAACCTTCTGCATCGGACTAGGAGACGTTTCTGAGGAGCACGTGAGGTTTGACACTTTCCTGCTTCATAGGCCTTATGGGTTTTCATCATGTTACTGAAAAAGCAATCATTAGCTCAGCAAATGCCCCTTTATCAGTGTCTAGGTCATGTTTATGGTATATTTATTCCAAGAAATGTGAGCTCTTGTGCTTCGAATCTACTAAATATCTGCTGTAGGTGTCATGGTTTTTCCAATGATTCCACCTAGAATGAGTTAAGTTCCAGCGGTCACTTAACTGACCATTGACTAGAGCCTAATAATAGGGTGACTATAGTGAGACGATACATGTAGAACAGCAACCTTAGCAAATAAAACATGTATTGAGGTACTAGAGGAGAACTCCTGCTGCTTTTATTGGAACATTATAGTTAGGCATGCAGGCCTTTTCCCAAATGGTTCAGGCTAAAATTCTTTTTTAAAGATACACCTGATTTTCTTGGACTCTGACAAAATAAAATTACACATCACCTCGCAATCCCTACAGTCCACTGTATTGTTCAATTAAAATCTGCCCATACCCAGAATTTAGATCCCAAATCCTAGTAAGTATACTGAATGGTATACTGAAAGTCTTGAATTTTCCTTGTGCTTTTTAGCATTGTTGCGGTTCACAGGTTGACAATATAAATGGTATTACTTACATGTCAAGTTCCACATGTCAAATGAAAGCATATGTTGAGCTAATTTAAAAATGCACCATTTCTTAAATAGTCCCCAAATGAATGGGTATGTTCATAGATTGAGTTAAGTGATCTCCAATCAGTTGGGGGTCTTAGAAGTTGTCTATACAACAAATAAAAAGGAGCTTAAAATCATATTTACCTAAGTTTAATCAAAATATAGTCTACTACTTTTAATAGTTTATTACTAATACTTTTAATAGTTTTTATTTATAACAAAGTACAGTCATTTAAATATGTAAATATAAGCTGTTTTAACTGTCAGCAACTTGAATAATTATCATGATGTAATCATTAATCACAGTTATTTTTGCCATAATAATTGCAACACCAAATGTGAATATGGCCCCATGTGGAGTGTTAACTGAACTCTTTATGTTCTCAGCTGTGGTTTTGCTGGACTCTTAAGATGTGAACTCTGGTAACACTGGTGTTTGACACGTTCTGTTCCTCTCCACAGATCCGTGTGGTCGTTGGCCCGGTGATCCATCAGGCGTCCAGACGTCCTGCACAGGACCCCGGCTCTTGCTCTAAATCCTCACACACAAACGCACACACACACATACATAAATACGCACGCAAACGTTACAAACTCCTGCTTCCACAATGCCTCCTCCTACTCCTCAGCTCACCTTTTCTGTGCTGCCTTCTTCCTTTGTTTTTAGTGACCCTGTCGCTGCTGCTACTGTGCATCCTACGCTCACCCCTGCAGCCCGCCGCCCTGTGCCTGCTGCTGTTCGCCCTGCGCCCGCCGCTGCTGCTGCCCGCCCTGCGCCCGCCGCTGCTGCTGCCCGCCGCCCTGCGCCCGCCGCTGCTGCTGCCCGCCGCGCCCTGCGCCCGCCGCTGCTGCTGCCCGCCGCCCTGCGCGCTGCGCCGCTGCTGCTGCCCGCCGCCGCCCTGCGCCCGCCGCTCCTGCCAGGGGCATTCAGATAATCCCTCTCCCTGACACTATGCTTCCTGGTTTCAGGCATCCTCACTGTGCTCCTCTGTCTCGGAAGCGCCCCGCTTGTGCCGAGCCCGCTCGCCCTGCGAAGCTTCCGAAGCTTTCCTCCTCTTCTCCTGCCCCTGCCCCTCTTCTCCCGCTGGAGGAGTTGGACGCTGCCCGCCTGTTCCCTGGACCTAGGCCGGACTGGGTGGTGCAGATGGAGGACTACCTGGAGGAGCGCAAGAAGGACTGGAAGGACTGGAAAAGGGCAAGTGAGCCACAGAGGCCATTTACTCCCCAAACACACAAGTACTCCTTTTATTTTAAGAACTGATCCTCTTTCTGTTTGTGTTTCAGTCACAGAAGAGGATCTGGAGTCTTGCAGTTAAGGGTGACGCTTGATAACTACCCAATGCAAACAACAAAACAAAAAAAAAAACACATTATTATTATTATGCTGTAAATAGTTTGCCGTGTGAACAATTTTTAAATAGTTTTTGTGTGGTGTTATTATTATTATTATTATGCTGTAAATAGTTTGCCGTGTGAACAGTTTTTAAATACATTTTGTGTGGTGTTATTATTATGTTGTAAATAGTTTGCTGTGTGTGTTTTAGTGTGAACATTTTTAAATAGATTTTGTGTGGTGTAATTTTTATGGTGTAAATAGTTTGCATTTTTAGATTTCATTTTAAGCTCCTTAGCTAGGCTCTTGCACCTTCTCCATGGATAAGGGAAAAACAAACAGTGGGAAAACGTGAGGAGGGGAAAAATGTCGGCGTGATAAAAACAATATACAGTACAGGTAAGTTTTTATATTGATAGTATTAAATTATTAAAGTACAGTACATTTATTTGTCTGTTTTTCTTCCAGTGAGATGGACCTTCACAGTGCAGACTGTGGAGAGGAGGAGTGGAGGAAGGAGGCTTATATCCATATTTTCATACAAAATACAGGTACACTTGAGAGTTCTATGAATTGTATTTGTCCCTCCTCCGACTATATTATACATTTGTGTTTGGTTTTCATAGGGACAGAAATGGGAGACATGTCAAAGCAAAGAAGCCAATTTGAAAAGAAAACAAGATCATACAGTATGTCTGGCTCTTTTGAACATTTGAGGATTCAGTAGGAAATGAAGATATGCACAGGACCTCTTGTTCCAGAGTCCTCCCCGAGGTCCGGGCTGGGTCAGGAGGGCTGCTGAGGTCCTGAGGTGGGACTGTCGCGTGTCCAGCTCAAGAGACAAAGCACCATGGCCTGTGTTCTCTCCATGCTTCTCCGTGACGACCCGTGTGCTGTCCACAAACCTGCAGGAAACGCCTCTGATGTCCCCTGTATCCCCGAGTAACAACCCCTCAAAGTGACAAAGAATATACAGTACAGGTAAGTTTTTATATAAATTTACAGTATGAAGTTGTTGAAGTACAGTACATTTATTTCTCGTTTTTTTTTTCTTACAGTGAGATGGAACTTTATACTGCAGGCTGTGGAGAGGAGGAGTGGAGGAGGATGCTTCTATCCATGTTATACAAAATACAGGTACGTTGTCGACAACAATGAATTGCATTTGTCTCTCTAAGTATATTATATATTTATGTTCTTTTTTTCTTTGTTCCCAGAGTCTGCCTGACGTCCAGGCTCAGGTCCTGAGGTGGGACTGTCATGTGCCCAGCTCAAGAGACAAAGCACCATGGCCTATGTGCTCCATATTCTGCACGAGGACCTGTGTGCTATCCATCAACCTGCAGGAAACGCCTCTGATGTCTCCTGTATTCTAGAGCAATAGTCTCTGAAGCAACAGTGAGCCAAAGCAACATGTGTGGCAACTGAATGACAGCACACATTTTTCCTGTTGTTTGGGACTTAAATACAGGAATATGTGACAAATATAATGGACAAAATGGTGAGTACTGATTGATTATTACCACATTACTTTACAGAAAAATAATACTTATTTCTTTTCTTTTGAGCTTTCAACATCAGGCAAGTGTGATCCTGCAGAAAGAGGAGGAAGAGGGTAAAAAACCAAAGAATATATAGTACAGGTAAGTTTTTTGTTTATAGTATTGAATTATTGAAGTACAGTACCTTTACTCGCCTTTTTTTTCTTACAGTGAGATGGAACTTTACAGTGGGGGCTGTGGAGAGGAGGAGTGGAGGAAGGAGGCTTATATCCAAGTTGTTGTACAAAATACAGGTACACTTGAGAGTTCTATGGATTGTATTTGTCCCTCCTCCAAGTATATTGAATATTTGTGTTTTTTGCACAAGGTCCAGGCTGGGTCAGGAGGGAGGCTGATGTCCTGAGGTGGGACTGCTGTGTGACTAACTCACAACAGGTAAGTTTTTTTATATTTATAGTATAAATGATTGAAGTACATTTATTTGTGTTTTTTTCTTCCAGTGAGCTAGTACTGTGGAGAGGAGGAGGGGAGGAAGGAGGCTTATATCCATGTATCTTATATCCAGGGACAGAAGTGGAAGGCCACTGCCAAGCGTGTCAGTGATATTCAGACTTTATCAGTGCCTCTGTCTTGTATGCGATTCAGCTCTGATCATCTCAGAGTGGCCCTGCACCCTGTTTCGGCCTTTATTCCAAAACTGGTTGACGCCTGTACCTAAGTGAATGTGGACACTTTTCAGCCTCCTTCCCACACTTCTGCTGAGCAACAGCATTCACACAGGTTGTGCCCTGTCCGAGCGGCGCATGGCATCCTTTACCAACACTGTAATGCTACACAACACTCTGCTCTGGGAAACCTGAACATTTTCCTTAAACACCATAATGTAAGTACTGTAATGCACTGTCCTTACGCACAACTCATTTTTAAGTGCATTCATGGTGGACAACAAAATGTATTCTATTTAATTGTCTTCCGGTCTGTTGTCTTCTTAGATTCAGGAGTAGGACCACGCCTCAACCTCCCCCTGCTCCTCTCCAGTGAACCAAGCTCAGCTCAACCGCACCTTCAATTACCCAAAAAGCCCTATTTATACAGGCCTATCCCAACAACACCGTCTGTCTCTGCTCTCTCTACCCCCTCCCTCCCACCCCGTACCTCTCGTTCATCCTTCAGCTCGAAGACCTCATCGTCTACAAAGGGTGGGTCCTGAATTGGTCCGGCTGACCACCTGAGACAGAGCCCCCATCCAGAGTCTCCTCCCAGCCACCACATCTCACCATCATCAAGAAATATCTTTACCGTATTCCATTGTGGTGGCGTGGCCCTTGCTAGTGAAATACCACTGTGTGTCTGAAGATGAACAGTTTCTGTCCGATATTAAGTCACCTGTCACCTGCCTGAGCCTAAACTTGACCTCAACAAGCTGATAAGAACATTGGCAGCCAACAGCATAAGCAATGTTTCCTCTTGTATGTCGTATTTGAATAGCCCCTGACTTATTCCAACTATTTCACTTGCCTTCAGTTATTCCACTTGTATTTATTTTTGTCATTTTAGTTCTAGCTAAAGATAATAAATATGTTTGCATGCATAATCTCGTTGTTTTTGCATTTCTACCACCAGATGCCATCAAAAGATGATGTATTATGTAATATGTATTTTACATACAACACACAGATTTCCAATACACATGAATGTAGATGATCATAGATGCTGACCTAACCCTAACAATGGATAGAGCTGCATTTTCTGTGCTAAATCAATAATAGTATTGTTTTGTTAATAATTCATAATTAAGAAAAGTTCATTTCTAACAGTGTTTATAAATTATCTGTGGTAAAGGAAAATAAAAAGTTATTTCATGACTTAAATACAGCAATAGAAAGCATTTTAGAAAGATTTTCAGATTTAAAGATAATATTAGGACGGGATTTCAACTGTACACCCAATGATGATGTGGACAGGTACCCCAGCAAAAATAATATTCACTTATATTTAACAGAGTTCATGAATGAAAGAGGGCTCATTGATATGTGGAGAACAAATAATCCACATAATAGAGAATTCACTCGGAAAAAGAGAAACGGTACGCTACAATCCAGAATAGATCTCTGGCTTGTCTCGGAATCAATTTCACACTTCAAATACAAAACAGAAATTACTCCCACACCTCTAACAGATCACAAAGTAATTGCACTGACTATACATTTTTCAACAAACAGAGAACCTGCCTGGCCACCAAGTTAAAGAAAATACTCAATGATATAACTGAGGAGTCGCAGAACGGCTTTATGGGAGATATATCACTGACAGTATTAGACTCATCCTCGCCATTTTAGATGATTAAGATCTTATTTCAGAAAACAGTTTCATTCTATTTTTGGACTTCCATAAAGCATTCGACTCATTAGAACACCAGTTTGTGCTTAAAGCTCTTGATTTATTTGGCTTTGGTGAGCTTTTTAAAAACTCCATTCACACCTTGTATATATCTCTGGGAACAGCTCTATAAAACTGCCCCATGGAACAACTCATAGATTTAATATAGAACGTAGAATACACTAGGGCTGCCCAATTTCTGCTTTTCTATTTTTATTACCCATGCAAATTTTAGCCAATTATATTAAGAATAGTGACCTTAAAGGAATATCTATTGCAGGAAGAGAAATATGTGTAAGTCAGCGTGCTGTCGACACAGCTCTCTTTTTAAATGATTGTTCTCAGGTAAACTATGCTATCAACTTATTAACCACATTTTCCTTAGCTTCAGGACTCAAATTAATATCAGGAATCCCGGTGAAATAAAAAGTGAAATACTTGGTTGTTACTATCATAAAAGAAGAAGAAGAAAAAGCTGAAAACTTTAACCCTCTTATGCATAGAATTCAAACTAAATTGAACATGTGGCTTCAAAGGGACTTATCAGAATCCTACTCTCCAAAGCTGAAGGGCTCTTGTCAGCTTCTCCTGGAGGCAGCCTGAACAGAGGATCTTAAGAAAGAGGCTTGGAGAGTTAGAACAGTTCTCAGACATGTCTCTTTACTGGTTCAGGCAGGTTCAGGTCTCAAGATTCAAGTTGATTCAGCAGGATTCTGCCTACGCGGCGTCTCTCTGTGCGTCGGTCGTCCCTCGACAACGCAGTCGACGTTCCCCAACTCATGCACAGAAAAACTGGGTCCTTTTATACCAGCAGAACTGTTGAGTTCACATCTTCATGGAAACATACACAGCACTTTTGTCCCAACACGTGTCCCATCACAGACTGGCAGATGCTAAAGGTTGGAGACTGTTTTGTGAAATATCTTAAAAGGTTCGTGGGAAGTAGTCACAACCAGGCAATCACTATTTCACATCAATCAATGCCAGCACACAATGAAGCTAGAGTAAACGTGTCTGTCTATTCCCCGCTTAACATTGTTACAACAAGCTAGAATAAATGTGCCTGTTTATTCCCCGCTCAATAATTGTTACAATGAAGCTAGAACAAATGTGTCCGGTTACTCCCCGCTTAACATTGTTACAATCATATCAATCAATCAATGGGTTTAAGCATCAATCATCACACAAACTGGCACATAAGAAAATCAAACTCACCGTTGACACTGGGCTGGAGAGCCAACAACCCACGGCAGAGTGGCTTAAACCCGGCTGGGCATTCGTACGCAACCCGCAGCAGACTCTAAAGTGGGTGCTTTCCCTCCGCCTCTATATATTCTCTTCATGCACCTGTGCGTGCAGAGAGGGCCAGTCTCCACCGCGCACACATACATGGAGGCGCATTCCTGTCCCATGTCCAGTCTTCTGAGACTGGCAATGGGGCAGGGTGCCCTGTTTTTCGTAAATACAGTGTCCTTGGCACAATCCCCTACTAAAAGATAGCGAGTTGTATAAGCATAATATTGACTTCGTGCAGGCATGCAGGCCTGGTGAATTGGTCTCAGGACCAACTTATATGTTCCCACTACAGAGACACACCCCTTATCTGTCCCATATACATTCACCGTCCATATATGACATCATATCCCAACCCCACTGACACTCCAAAGTCCAAAAACATACACAGCATATTATTGTACACAGGGATTCAGTACAGGGCGAATTAACATAAATGAAACTTTAAAAACACAGGGAAGAAGCCCACACTCTCTAGTCTAGTCTATACCAGCTCTGCTCTTGATGTACCAAAAAACATTCATGCACAAGTAGACAAAAACTTATTTGACTTTATCTGGGAGAAAAAAAACACACCTCATTAGAAAAAATGTAATGATTAATCATTTAAGTAATGGTGGATTTAACGTTCTAGATTTTCAGACTCTACATTCCTTTTTCCAAATTGAATGGATTAAAAGATATTTATTGAACCCACATTTATTATGGAATTTCATTTCAACACATATATTATATTTGATGCATTAGGAGGTTTAAATTTTATTCTGAGGTGTGATTATAGCATTGATAAGCTTCCAACTAAACTCTCTAACTTTCACTAACAGTTACTGTTATGTTGGACTTTAATATATAAGAACAACTTCTCACCACAAAAATATTACATATGGAATAACAAAGATATATGCTTCAAACACAAATCTCTTTTCTTA